TCTAGCCGTATTTCTTGAACGCAGCCCAGTATATACAGGGGTGCGTTCCATAACGTAACTTTGGTTACTAAAAAGCTATAGTTTACGTTACGTTAACTATAGATTTCAGTTACCAAAGTTGCGTTTTGGAATGCACCCCAGTAGCGCAACCTGTGTAACTCTGAAGGCCCGTCTACAATACATGGAGTAAAGGTCGCAGCACACACTTTTGCATAACGCATAACGCATAGTGCATAAGCGAATCAACTAATCAGAATCTTTCCTTTCCTCTTGTTCCATGAAAAAGAAGAATTTTGATTGGTTGATTCCTTTATGCACTATGCATTATGCGTTATGCAAGAGTGTGTGCTGCGGCCTTAAGAAGTAAGAGTAAGAAATTGACCAATCACAGTCGATTATTCTTCTCACATTCGACTGTGATTGGTTAATTTCTTACTCTTACTTCTTACTCCATGTATTGTAGACGGGCCTTTAGGGTGCCGTCACATACGGCGTAACTTGCGTAAGCGTAACTTGCGACCAATCATATCATTTCACTTGAACATCAATTTCTGTTTAGTCACTTTATGCTTTTTACGCTATTTTGTTGTTACGCCGAAACATGATAGAACCACCATGCATCGAATCTAATTTCTGGCTTATTTTAGCTTATTCTGTCTGAAAAAATGCACAAGGGTTTCAATTTTGCAACAGTACAATTATAGAAGTCGTGCATGTGGAACAGTCCAATTATAGACCTCATTTTGCCTCTGTGACAGATTTCCCAGGGATGGGAAAGTTAGGGCCTGCGCACAATACAGAAACAAGAATTAGATATTAAGATTTTAACCTATCAGAAACCGTGTATTCCGACGTAATCAGTTTCTGATAGGTCAAAATCTTAATATCTAATTCCTATTCCTCTATTGTGCTCAGGCCCTTACTTTGTAAAAGTAATTAATTACAGTTACAGTTTTTCTCTTTCAAAAAGTAATTAATTACCGTTACAAGTTATTGACTCTGAAAAGTAATTCGTTACAGTTAGGGTATATCCACACAAACTTGCATAGTCGCATAAACGTATGCATAAAGAAAATTATCCAATCATATTTTACGTGCGTCTCTATAGGAGAAATGTGATTAGGTAATTTTCTTTATGCATACGTTTATGCGGCTATGCAAGTTTGTGTGGATATACCCTTACAGTTACTGAAAAAGTAATTTTAAGTTACTTTTAAGTTATAGCGTTTTCGGCCCGATCGGGTTTGCACCAACCTGGGTTGGATTAATCTTTCCTATTGGTTGATGTCACACGCTCTACCAATA